AGTTAGTCACATAACGAATAACACGTGCAAGAAATGGAAGGAACGGATAGAATCAAACCGAGGCACAATTGTAGATCAATAGCCAATTGTCGAGAAAATTTTCCTTGAATCATTGACAAGATATTTAATTGTCTCTGAGTGATACTTCTAATGGTGGATCTATGTGTTTTATGACTTTGCAAAATCAGAAAGAAAAGTTCTACATAAATCTTTTTGCATATGAAATTCAAAATTCTTCTCAATAGAACAAAGCCCAGTATTTTTCTAAGGGCCTGCTTGGGAGTTTTGGCATACTAGTAATGAACATTTTTAAAGTATTGATTTTGAGCGCTTATGAACAAATCAATGTTGAGTGATTTTAGTATTTTTACTTACAGTAAATTTTATACTTTTAAATAATTTTAAATGATTTTTTTTTTTACTTATAAGTAATTTTTTATATTTTATAAGTGATTTTTTTGTCTTATATTAGTATTTTTATTTCACAAATAATTTTTTTTTTTTTACATAAAAGCATTTTTTTACTTATAAGTAACCTTTTAATTATAATGTAAATTTTCTTACACTTATAAGTGTTTTTTAGTTATAATTTAATTTTTTTTGGCTTATAAATCATTTTTTAGTTAAAATGTTTTTATTTACAAGTTAGTTTTAAAGAAAATATGTTAATTGAAAATAATTATTTTATAGGGGGTAAAATTAGAAGAGAATATAAGAAACAACCAAAACCAGCCAATTTGGCAGGTTGAGAGAACTGATCAAAATTATACTACACCAATTTTACGTGATCTTTAAACCATCTAATACTGATGTCAAAAATACTAGCAAGCACATGTTTTTCTAACCCTTCATAAATGGTGCCACCTAAAACCGGTGGAAATAAATAAATAAAATAAAAATATCTCCCAAGCAAGCCCTAAGAGGTACTAGCTTGGAGTGAAAAATTAGAAATTAGCATAAAGCTCAAATTAGTGCGACTCCTTCCCAAAAATCAACTACCTTCCTATCCCACTATCTCACGAACTCAAAAAAATTTCGAACTATGAAATCACTCCATGGATGATCCAGAAACTAAAGGTGGGCAAAACCCAAACCAACTCGAGAAAATCGCCCAACCCGACCCAACCCGACCGATTTGGATCGATTTTTTTTTTTTTTTTTTTTTTTAGGTGGGTTTTGGGTATTGGTCAGGTAGCCGGGTTGGGTTATGGGTTAACCAGGGAAACCCGATGTAACCTGACCCAACACGACCCGACTGCATTAAAGGTTGAAGGCAAAAAAGGAAAAAAGAAAAAAAAAAAAGAGATAAATGAAAAGAAGCCCTGAACTATTCCGGTCTTCTTCACTCTCGCCTCAAATAGAGACTACTACGAGGGGTGTCCATTTTTCAATATTATGGAACCATAGAATAATTCAATAGCAAATTCATGGTAATGGGAAAAAGGGAAAGCCAGTGCTTCTTTTCCCAATCCCCAGGATGTCCCAGCAAAGAGTATGATCCATCTCTTCCCCAACTTTTTAGTGTATTAAACTTCTCCATAGATGAAAATCCCAACAGCCATTTTCCTCTCCTTCACAGAAACAAATGCTTCGATCACCATAATAAAAGTTTCCATTGTGAGCAGATCCTTCTCTTCATTTCTTCAAGGATAGACACCATGTTCTCAAACTATCCTCTTCTCAAGAACAATAATCATCGCATTTTAATTGCCAGATCTTGACTTAAATTCAACTTGCAATCATCTAAAATCATTCAATATTCACCTCCAAACTTATATCTTTGATCTGAATCAATTCACTCGTCATGTCCACCTCCTCCTGATCAGTCCTCCATTTCACATTTTTAACGACAATTGATTCGTTTCCGCAACCACGCAACTCTCATTCTCAGAATCCGACACATCAAAATCACTAGGAATTAAAGACCCTAAAATTATTCAAGCAATAAAAGGAAATACTGTGATTGTAGGGAAATCTCAGCTTTGGGAGTGGGTTTAATGGCAATATTTTTTGAAAAGGAGAGAATGAAGTGGGGTGTGACAAAATAAATGGAATTTCACAAAAAGCACAATAGAGACTACTACGAGTAAAAGAATGAAGCAAAAAATACACGGACAGAGAGCTACCGTTAATTTGCTTTCCTTGAAATCATCAACTCCGTACCGTTCAGATTTGTAATTCGGTGGTGCTAAGGAAGAGTTTGCCATTTACAGTGGTATTTCTTGTGGAATTTGAATGAAAATAGATTTGAAGAGTGGGGGTTTCTTCAAAATGCCCAAATATGCAGCCCTTTTGTGTAAATTGAAGAAAAAGAGAACGCTTAAATTAAGTGGGCCGTGGATTCGAAGATCTATGATTTCTTCAAAATGCTCAAATACATAGCCTTTTTTTTTTTTTTGGATAAGGTGCTCAAATACATAGCCGTTTAGTGTAAATTCAACGAAGGAAAAAAAATGCTTAAATTGAGTGGGATTTGGATTTGGATTTGAGGAGTAGAAATTTCTTCCACGGTCTCAAGTAAATTTCTTCCACAGTCTCAAGTAAATGGCAAATTCATAGTACTGGGAAATTCAAAGGGGAAAAAGAAGTAATGGTTGCAGTTGGAAGTTTCAGATCGAGGGTTCACGCCAGAAGTGCAGGTTCGGTGGCTAGACAGTGATGCTGTAGGTTGGTGAAGGAGACAGACAATGGGAGCGTGTTGAGTGAGCTGCAAAGTTAACTTCTTTATTACAACTTTACAAGAATGTTTCGTAAATTATGGAACCCAATTTAGAGCATCTCCAAATATTCTTTAAACATAAAAATATCTACGTCGGAGTCCACTCTTAAAACTATATTTCAAAAAACTCATTAAATCAATATTTTAAAATAAAGAATAATTTGAAAAGTCAAACCCATTTTTTATTATTAAATGCATTCAAAATATTTCAATTTTTAATGAAGGAAAATAATATAATAATTTCGACAAAAACTAATGAAAATAAAAGATAGAATAAAATGATATATATTTTATTAAGGTAGTAAAATTAAGTGTTAAAGATAAATAATCTGTTGGGGTACTTTAAAAAAAAAAATTACTCTTAAATTTATATATACTTTCTAAAGTAAAATAAAAAAAATAGATCTTTAAAAATAGTAAATCTCTTATATATTCTCTTAATTTAGTACAATCAAATCACTTAACTTTGAATTGGTTGCAAAACTGACTTAAATTTTATTAATGCAATATATTTGAGCTAGACTTTAAAACTAATGGACAGTTGAAGTTTAAGACAATTATATTAAGAGTCTGTTTGATGTAGAATTTTAGAGAATAAGTCATTCTTTGAGCCTCGTTTTTGGTAAAAAAAAAAAAAAAAAGAGGTTTGCAATAGTGATTTTTTGAAGAATGTATAATTAAAACATATGAAAATATTTTGAATAATGTGCAAAATTATTTTATTGAAAAAGTATGTGGTTGAAATTGATTTTGGGGAAAAATGATTTTCTTAGAAAATGAAGTTCAAAAATTTATGAAAATTGACTTTCTTTTCGAGAGTGTGTGGTTAAAAATGGGGGGAAAATAGTGGTACACATGCAAAATTATTTGATTGAAAAATATGTGGTTAAAAATTAATTTTTTAAGAATCTCAACCGAACATGAGCTAAATTATTTTTAACTTATCGATTAGCATATCATGTTAGCTAAATTGATGGGAAAGTGGATAGAATGGTTAATTTTGCAAGCAAATCGACTTTGGATGATTTGATTGCACGAATTGAAAATGTATGATCTGGTTGCATGAATTGAAAATGTATGACCTGAATACAACTCCATTTAAAGATGAAGGACTAACAGTTCATATTGATATTCTTACTCGGTTTAAAAATTGTAAAAACTTATAGATAATATATTTTCTCGTGAGCATTTTTTAAATGTTAAAAAATTATTTGTCCCTTTTAAAATTTGTCAAATTATGGTTAAATGTTGACTTTTGGTCAACTAGCGAATTTTTGCACGGAAATTTTTCAGAGATACTTCTGCCACACAACTTTGAAAAGTTTGGAACGTCTATTCTATGATTTAAAGGTTGGATGTAATTTGCATATTATTAAAAGGTTTGAGACCTCCGCTGTAAATATCCCATCTATTTCCTTGTTTTCTTATTGTTATACCACTTTTTTTTTTTTTTTCCTTTTTTGGGTCAAGCAACTATCCAGATATTGCATCTTTAGGATCTTGATCTAATTGTTCCATGGCCTAGATGACTTCCTATTTATTAGTCAACTTCAACTCTTTTTCCATTAACAACTTTAATTAACAAAACATTTTCTATTATGTTATAACACACAAGTCTATGGCATTGTAAAATTATACATCTTTTTCAAGGATAATATTAATTGTATCTTATTAGAGATCAATTCGAGGATGGAGAGCAAATTGTTTCCACAATAGTCAGTAATAATTAAATCCAACATGGAAAAAAATAATTTGTTTAACTAAAAGCTGCTCATTTTCCATGTAATTTATCTCCGGAAGAACAAGCATACAATAATGAATAGTATTAAAAGAATAAAAAATCTTATTCATTGTGCTATATTTCATACCAAAAATTGTGTACTTGACTACTGAATACTCTCTACTCAAACATGTATCTGCCTGCTTACTTCAACATTCCATTTTCCATAATGAATCGAAGGTGACAAAACTTTCACCGACCAAAAGAATCTAAGACATTGTAGACAAATATTCCATGAACCTCATGGCGAAAATGTATGAATGCTTGAACTGGTTACCCCATGCAAGGGAGAGCCAATAGTAGCCCAATTAACACTTAACAAATGACAATTAGTGAGCAAAATAAACAGCAATTTAGAAATTTGACGAATTCTCTTCAGAAGCTATACTATATTGTAAAGTCTTTTGCCAACTTTGTCTTTACAAGTCTATCTAAAATTGGAGGTTCCAGAGAAACTGGATCGAGACAACGCTCTGTAGTAGCATCAATCACCTACTCAACCAAATACACAACACTTATTACCTAGTTATAGAAGTCAAAGAAGAAACTTTTTGAAAGTATTCGTTTAAATCAATGAAAAAGATAATCATAGAATACTTGGTATTGAACTTTGAATCTTCCTCCATTTATATATTGTTTGTAAAAGGGGAATTGCTCCATTGGTCACCAACCTATTGTCTCAACTTTTAAAGAGGAACAAGTTGGTCCACAAACTTTCGGTACAATTGCACGGGCAATGAACCCATCCCATTCTCAAACTTTGCTATCAGAAGCTCGGGGGAAGTCAAATAGCAAAGTACTATACTTAGGGTGGACTTACAACTAAGTCGAAATATTCTTAACTTTGTTTAATTGTGAGGAAACATATATTGCTTTAATTTTTTTGTCACCAATTCAAGTTGGAAACAACCTAGCTTCGTAGAGTTGGACATGAAAGTGTCACATAATGATTTAACAAAGATTTGGCTTCTTACCTCATCAAGCAAGAAATCAATTGCAGCTTCATCCTCGGCAATATCCTTTAAAGTAGACTTCAAAAACTGAATATCCAACTGAATTTGATGGAATCCACTCTGATTGAAGGTTTGGAATATGACTAACTCAAGCAAACTCTTCAAAGAAAGTTTTGCTATAGTTGTTATGACAGATTCCTGCAAAGTAATAGCAATCTAGTATTACTTTTATCACCATACAAATAGACCTTATTTATCTACAGCAAGTGACCAAACTTGTGTGTTCTCTAGTTTTGTGAAAATCTCCATTTTTTGCTTAAATAATTTTGCTAGATGCGTCTCCAGAAGCTGGCTCCTAGCCTTGTGAGTATTTGACCAGCTCATCCTATTGTCTCTAAATGTACTGCTGCATGAGCATGTCATGCTCCCATTGCTGTCAGTGCGTCGATGTTTATGATGAAGGCCGTGGGGGGCAAAATTTGTTTTGCTTCGGTTCCTATTACTTCAAACTATATATGGGACCAATAAAGAAACTTTAGTTTTTGAACTAGTTTAGGTTGTAATATTTATTGGCACTGATAGCAGGAATCAACATACGGAAATAATATAGAAGGAAAATTGACAAAATCCTTACCATAAATAAAAAGAAAAAAAAATGAGCATGAAATTATGACTATGGAAATACCTCCTGAAGAAGTAGATCGACAAACATATGTACTTCTCTGGGTTCTTTGTGCTATGGGACAGAGGTGAAATAAATATGAGACTGAAGTATTTGGTGGGGGGAAATGAAGTTATGATTTCAAGATGTGTACTAACCTTGACCCAATTCGGTGTTGTAAACCTCTTCTTCAAGATGATAGCCATTCTTTGAGTTCTCATCTTCATATACTGCAAGGATGGAAAGATCAAAATAAGTATTGACGTACAATCTCCGTTTCTTGTCATGCACCAAACACTAAATATTGGAAAACTTAGTGCTCTGAACTAAAATACTTTACTTTAACGGTCAATTTTTTATGTTCTTCATGGTAGACTTCCGTTCTTTTTACTTAACAAGAGATCTCAGCTTAAGCTAAGAGATGGAAGTAGAAAAGGTATGACATGCCCTTGAGGCTATCTACTAAAATCAGCACAACAAAGTCAGTAAACCTATTTTCTCGCTATGAAGAGGCTTCAATAATTAATCGTGAAAAAGAAAATGTTGAAGCTAAGAGAATGGTTAATAGACGAAACTGACACGAGATATTGATGCTTTTTGCAAGCAATGGGATGGACTCAACCTCCTCGTTAAACAGGCATATTGACACAGCATACTCAAAAACAATGCTTCTTACTCTTTCAAATTTTGAACTGCATCAACATGTCTAAATTGATGAATAACACAAAATTTTTTGAAGATGGAAAAAGATATAAATGTTAAATGCTTACAAGGTGCAAGTACATTTCACCATGTGCCCGCGAAAGGTACAACAAATTTCTGCAGGAACAAAAGCTGGACCATATTCACAGCCTCGAACACCGCCACCAGAGAAAGAAGATGCTATTTCCTGAAATTTTGAGTACAACGTTCACAGGTGGAACTGATTGTATTGAGGAATATATGATTGTGTTTATTTAATTTAATGACTAGGAAACAACTCAGAGTTGGTTCCTTGCCTCAGAAATTCTTAGGACGGCACTTTTTTCAATAAAATGGTATAATTGAGTCACTACAAGAACAAACCCAGCGGGAATTCTTTCACCTGGTACTCCTATCTGATTTCGATCTTGACTGGCAGAGATACTCTTCCACAAAGCAAAAGGAAATAGTCATGAACTTTCCTGAAGAAATCTTGAAACGCTTCTTGGACCCAGTCCATTGCGTAGCCTCTCAACTCCAATAATAATTCAGAATTTTCAGTTAGAAGGCGATGGAAGTCCTAGATTCACAAATAAATTAGACAGTAAGTAAGGAAGCCGTAGAAACTCAGCAACTAAAATCATGTGCCATCACCTGGAGTGGAAGATAGATCAACACAACAGGCTAATTCAATACCAAAGTCAAATGGAATAAAAAGATTGATCTGCATACATGACATTGAGCTACGACAAAATGGACGTCTAATATGAGTCTTTTAGATAATTCATGAGAATAAGCCAAGCATTAGCTTATACTTTCCCCATGAGTTAGTAAATGACACCCTTGAGTGGAAACGAAAGCAGTCAGAATACTAAAAAAATTATGTTCACAAAATTATTTGTAGTAGTTTGAATGATATGGATAGAAAGCTCTTGAAGAGATTGTTTTATGATCTATTGATCATTACTGTGAATTGCAAAGGGCCCCGTATATTTAATTGTTGTTTGAATTTTAGAATATGAGAAAAGTAGGAATAAACTGTTCACTTAAAGCGAAAGTGACAATAGAGTAACATCCTGAGTTCTAAAATTCACTGAGTAATCTTGTATAATATCAATACAATGTATTAATTATGCCTTTTCTGTTTACAAATCTAAGTCACATATCTTAAGATGTTGGATTCTTCGAAATCCTGTAACATTTTACGCTTGAAGGGGAAGAAAGTCTCATTTGTCATCCTACAGTTATACTTGGAACAAAACACACCTATATACACACGCTGGAAAGTAAAGAATCCCCAGAATCTTACTTTTAAGATAGCCAAAAGTGGGAGATTTATAAGGTTTAAAGAAAGAGAACATAATGGAACTGGGAAATGCCATATCACATGATAAAAAGTAATTCGTTTGGCATCTTATCTTCTGTCATTACCAGTAAGACATCCATACTGCCTTGGATAACTGCCTTTTTGCGGGCCTCGAAGGTTACCTTCAAAGGGTATACTTCCTCTGTTCTCTCCTTTTGTATACTTTGGATTTTTGAGAAAGTATCTACCAGAGAAGAAAAATTAAACAACTAAAATCATGCAAAAATATAGACTTTGAATTTTTTAAAATAACTTTATGTAGATGCTGGATTCATCTTCAAAAATGAATTAAAAAAATGTAGACGTATAATCCAAATAATTGAGCTTCTTGACTTACATTATATTGAAACGATTACTAACCTGAAATATCAAGTAGAAGATGACTTACTGCACTGGTGATAAAATCTTTAACATCAATAAGAGCAGCCTGAAAACAGTAAATTTATCAGCATATCATCCTCAATAAATACAAGTCACAAAGCAATCCAGATAGACACGTAGACGTATTGCCATATGTTTTAGTTACAGAATTGACAATGACCTGTAGAGTAAAATCAGGAAGGGCAGCCCCAAGTAACACTTCATCAAGTAGGAGCACATCAGTCTAAATGACTTCTGTAATCAAATGAATTTTAAAAGTATATTCAAGTTAGAAGTTTTAAAGACAAAATTCCTCAGAAGAAATGTGTTTTCTGTTGAAAGAACGATTTTAAAGATAATAAAGTAAAAATAGTGGGGATTGAAGGCTGTCACAAATGCTATCAAACGGCTTGTTAGATGCTGCTTAAGAACTAGTTCATGTACAAAATAAGCAAATAAATGGGAAACAAGATTATGATAAAAGAAGAAAGTGTTTGACCTTATCACTCATACATAGACAAGGTCATTACCCTTCACTCTTTTGTCAATTACTAACATGGTCCACTACAGCTATGGAAGCAAAAATGATACCAAAAGAAGTTGCACACATTAAATGCTGAAAGTAGCATTTTTGACACAAAGTTTACAACAAATGATGAGATACTGCAACAAAGTTAACTTACGAAGGATCGCCAGAATATTTGTAGAGCAGAGCTGCTTCTTAATATGTATATGAGTGGCTTTGAATTCCCTAAGATTTGGGCAAAACCATATAAATCATAAGCAAAAAATGTACGAACCACAACCTGATTCAATCACAAGAGAAGGATTATCAAATAAAAATTGGGAATGAAAGAGCAGTCATACTTCGTAACAAGGTCCTGTGCAAGTTTAAATAGTTGTGTTCTGAACGCAAAAAGATCACTCTATAAGCACAAAGAGCTTCAGTAAATTCACGAATAGAAGCCTGAAAGTAGTAACATAGCACAAATGTAATTTGAAATGTGATGCACTTGAAACACAAAATAAAAGAACATACTTTTTGTATGCAACAAAAGTAAAATAGTTGGGCTAGAAAATCTGGGATCTAAACTCTGGGATAAACTTGAAACAGAATTGTTTAAGTGCCTCAATAAAATACGGAGTGAAATAATTACATTATAAATGAAATACTAAGTGAAACAGTTACATATTGCAGCGACTTATTCATCTGTGCACACTATCCACAAGTGATCTATGAAGGGCAAATATTAACGAATACAAGTTTTTATTCCAACAATCAATATCTATACATTTGTTGCTTTTTGCTTAAAAAAGGGGGAAAAAATTTAGGTTCATTCTTTACTTCATGAGCAGCAGCAAAAGCTGAAACATTGGCTTTTCCTTGGTTAGGAAATTCATCATCTGCTAAAGCATCTTTTAGGTCCTTAGATTCAAAATGCAAATTGAAAAGGAACTGTTCCAACTTCTCGAACAATTTAAGCTTCAGAGTCTCAACCTATCAAAGAAGGGAAAACTATCAAAAAGTGAAGAATATTATAGGAAAACAAACAACAGAGACATAAAATATTGTTTTTCACAACTGTGAATGGCTGATTTTGACAAACAAAATTTAGGTATGACCATTAACTCTCCACACTAAAAAGTCTGCAAGGTGTAATCATCCTTGACTAGATGCATATTTGCATCTATTTGTAGATCATCAGAAAATAAAAGTAAGTGAAATACAAATCGGGAAATTTAACTGATTAAGAAGCATCACAGCCTCAGCTCTTGCTTGTATGGACAGGGAATCAGAAAATACCTTCCCCTGAAAACAGTTGTAGAAAATATAGAACATTCTCACTAATTACTAGCTTTTCTTCGTAAAAGACACCAATATTTGGGAAGGTTTAGTAGCACTTATTGTGGAAAAGCACATAGAGTTGTTTTTCTGTTCATTTGAAACAAGACTGTAAGATCGTGTAGCCATTTTTTATCATTTATATACTGACAGAGGATGGTAAAAACTCTATTTTCATCTATACAACAGGATTCCAAGGTTCTAAGATAGAACACTAACAACCAGAAAGTTCTTATTTTCCTCTAAGTTGACACGACGTTTTGGTTCATGAGTACTAATCCATGCCACACTTCTACTCACATGGTAAACAACTCCATCATTTGTGTTTGTAGAAACTGAAGTTTGCAAAATTGACAAAATAAATATCCACAATTCTTGCTGTCTTCCGTACTATGATCCATGATACTTATCTTTTTTAAGCATGGAGACCGTCAATTAAATTAAAGTTTGTATCTAGTCATTGGAATATTTTTTTTCTTTGACAAGATTTTATGACTGGCATTCAGTCACATTGGTGTAGTACTTTATATTTGAATCGGAATCCATCACTAATCTTATCACAATCTGGGTAGATAATCATTTAGACTATAACATACGGATATATTTCATCTAGTTAACTCTTTCGATAAGGATTCCATTTTCAATGATGCCCGCTTCATTCACCGCCAAGCACTGAAACAGAAGAGGTCATGCCTTCAATTTTTTTATAATTATCTCTACCGTTTCTTCCGATGCCCGCTTACAGTCCCCGAAGAAAGAGTTCCCGTATTTCTGGTAATAAATACAAAGAATGGGTTAGAAAGAAGAAACTATTATTGAAAAAATAGAAGTTCATCATCATTACTACTAATGATGGGCTCAGAAAATGGGTAAATTCAAACTTTCCCATTCATTAAGCAGATATCGACCTTGAAAATTGGCATGGCTCCAGTGTAGAACTTGACAGCATCTGAATAGGCTTCCGATTTGATACACTTCTCAAGTCTTGTCTATAGATCATAAATAAACTACTCTTTTCACACAAGATGAAATCTGTGCTAACTCATAGATGCAGAATTTACAGGATGTGTAAAACATGCAAAAATCTATCTTCAATGGTGGAAACAATTACAAGTTCAAAGAAAATGACAATGTTGAAATCTTATTCTTCAATCATGCAAATTCTCTAATTCAGAGTATCTCATAACAAGAAGATGCTTCTTTCTAATTTAATCATACTGCTCAAACTCTCGAAGTAAAGAAGAGACCAAAATGAGTCAGTCAGCCGTGTTCCTTCTTTTATACAAGTCACATTTTCTTTATTTTGCCAAAATTAACAATGGGCTATTTTGTAGCAGGAAATTCAACACAAAGATAGATTGGTACTCATTACATTACTTGAACTTTCCGCAATAAATTGCGTGTGCAATGCAGCTTCTCTACATGCTGTCTTTTAGCAAAAAGTGAAGTATTGACCCCATCAATTTTAGATTGCACGGACAGAATCTGCAACAGTTACGATGAATTTTGTTTTGAAAAAGCTTTCATCAACTTCTTGTTTTCTCAAATTATTTTGAAACTACAATTTATAGTAACCAAAAAGACCCTTGCCAAACACCTTTTCGTTAAGCTGTTCCATGTTTGCTTCCATAATATTTATATTATTTTTCATCTTAGAAAAATAGAGAAAACAAATGAGATTGACAAAAAGAAATAATAAACGCACCAAAAATGGGGACAAGTTTAACGTTATATAAAGAGAAGACATCATCTCAATTCTCAATATTGCGCTTCACAAGCTTGTTAAGATTAAGAATTATGACCTTTATTAATAAATTTTCGACATATATGTTTATTCAGTTAGAAGAATAATTACATTCACTACGAACATGGTTAAAGTTTGTATAGACACAAAAATTACCTTTTGATTGCATTTGTAGCACTAATGAACTTGTTGTAATTCTCATATACTAATGTTTGCAGGTTTCTAGGCCTACTTCTTTCGAGGCTCGCAAAAGCAAAGTCGGTATCCAGATTTTTTATCTCAGAAGCCATTTCGACGTGCTTCTTAAGAAATTCTTCCAAATTTGACTTTTGTACCTAAAATTTTAATTCAGATTATTATTAAAAAATAATCCTGCACACTAAATAAGTATAACATACACCGCAAAGTGCTGCACCATCAACTAACAAGGTTTATCAAAAATGAGAATTATATATTCACACTCTCCTCCAAGACATCACTGACATACGAAGCTTAATATCGTTCCATAAAATGGAACTAGACACAGGTCAAAAAGAAGTAATTATCGCGTACTCATTCAATTGAAAATTATGTCAAACTCGAGCAGTAGAGAGCTTTCAGGCTTTGCTTTCTCAACAGTCTTATTTTGAACATAGCACCCAGTGTAAATATGAGTTCTAGAAGTATGTTAGACCGTTAATCAACTTGAAAATCATAATATTTTATTGACAGTATCAAATTTCTAAGATCTAACTTAGTAAGTTTGAAGTGAAATGATAGATCTTATATCATTGCAAAATCAATAGAACTTTTGTAATACTTCCTGTACTAGTATTGTCAATTAAGTTTTATTTACACTCTTAATTTAGCATTTCTTTTAGGTTTCCGGCAAGAAATAAGATAGTTTCTCATAGTGATCGTGCCATGGAATTGAATCCACTGGAGAAATTCTATAATGTTTCTCAATTCCATTTCCTTGTTCCCAGATGACTGGTTGTGTCATGCCAATAAACCCATTTAGAGGTATTATATAGCTTAAATTTGCTAGTGACATTCATATTTGATTAGAACTCTATATTATTTAAACCAGCATTTTGATCTATTATAATCCAAAGAGCCCTAGAGTACACTCCTTACATTATAAAATGAATGCAATGGTAGGACTTGCATGTTGCCATGTTTACTCGTAAAAAAAAAATAATTAAAAAAATAAAAAAACTATCTATAACATTAAAATTCCAATCGATGGCCAGTATTACGGAAGTTTCCACAACTAAATTCCCAACACATTCAATAAATTAAGTCTATATTTGAAGAAATTCGAATTCGAATTCAAGTTAAATTGTGAAGTGGCGTACAAGGAGATTCATGTAGTGATCGGCGTCAAATGATGTGGCGTTGATGGTGTCGAGGATAGCGAATCTGGAGAAAGAAGCATTTGACGGCGGCGATGCTGATGAAAGATCCGGCGAGTAGAAGCTTGTTAACAGATCTCTCATCCTCTTCGCCTTCTTGTCTAACGGCTCTCCATCTCCTACTCCCATTTTCACCTTTTTGAGCTGTTGTACGTATAAATGCCTCCGTTTATTGATAGGGCGTTTCAAGAAAAAAATCACCGATTACCTGCGGCAAAGTCGAGCCACGGAGAGCTTACTTTTGGTGGTAGAGTTGTACGTCGACCGCGTCATGTGGTGGCGCCAGATCCAGCTCGGCTGTAACGGTACACTTATTTCAGTTTGTTGGTGGGGCAAATTATGGGGCAATACGCACATTTGGCAAAGCTTAAAAAGTTAAAAATAAAAATAGTTTAATGCAAAAAAATATCTTCCTTTCTCTTTTCTTTTTTATTATTTTAAATTTCTATTTGACATATTTATAAATAATTTATAATGTTTGACTTCGACTGTTACAATTCTTTTCAAATGATGTATAGGTTAAGCAAGAAATTTGTTGTTTAAAACGTTTGCCTCTTCAAACTAGCTAGTCATCCAGGGCCATGGACAAATGGGGACGCCAAGCGGCACCCCTATGGTTGGGGGGGCCTGTTCAACCATGCTACTGGTCCAGGGCCCCTGTTCGACAAGCAGATTAATTCTTGTTTCTTTTTCATTTTTTCAAATTTTTTCCTTAAAATGATTATATAGATATATCCATGTACACTTAGTGTTATACATCAAAAAATAGCTGGCAATTGAAGAAAAAACTGTCCCAGATAGGGGCTTAATTTTACAAAATAAAAACAAAAAGATGGAAATATGGCTAAAAATTCTAGTTATAGCTGTCTATTATTATATTTTATTGAATAATTCAATATTATTAAAAATGTTAGATAACGGCATTTATATTTTTGTATCAATCATATTATTTCATCCAATCATTTAGTTCATTGAAAAATATAATTACAACATCCTCTGTAGTTATGCCATTCATATTAGATGACACAAATAATTATCTACGATGGCCTACAAGATGAAGATTACTCGATAAGTACTCTACGTTGACGATCCCATTCTAGGCCTTCAACCACTGAGGCCATCTACTTGCATCTATTGCTATAAGACCCTCTAAATCCATGCTAGGTCGTCTACCACTATGATACCCTCTATGTTTATATTAAGCTGTCTATTACTACGAAACCCTCTACCTGCGTGCTAGGCCATCTACCATTACAAGGCTCTCTACTTGCATGCCATTCAGTACAGGGCCCTCTACATCCACACTAGGCTGTCGACTACTATGAGGCCCTCTACATTTATGTTAGGTCATCTACCATCTTGAGGACAAAACAACACTTAACTAGAAAACATTACTGGATTGGATGAGAACCGTCTACTGGTTATCATGGATACAACCAACCGTTGAATAGGAAGAGGTCCTCCACTCAGAACGTGAGGGTAATGGAAGGTACTACATGGGATACATAGCATAATAACCACCCAACAGTCACATGACTTCAGGTACCTATAAATACTCCTAAAGCGAGAAGAACTTTGACTATCTAAATACACATTTTACCTTTTCTTCCCAAGTCTACATTCCCCATTCCGTTATTAATTCTCATATCGAAGGTACAACGGGGGAGAAAGCCCCAACCTCATTTTGCACGTAGCATTTGTTCATCAGGATAGTAGAAACATCTTGTGCCGTCAGGAGGGCATTTGTTTCATAACTACTTCAACCATGGTCATCAGAATTTAATAACCTGGCAATAAATGTATGGAATGTGCATGTAAAAAACTATCAAATGTCATTTTAATTAGGTACGGCAAAAAAAATTGTTAAACCCAATACCCGCGAGACACTGCCTTAAAACGGGATAGATATTACCCACATAATCAGGTAAATGGGAAAGGACAGGGCAGTGGTTGTTACTCTGAAGTAGGTACGGGAAACATGATCCAAGTCAAATTTAAGTTTAAAAGATTTGTCGCCTATAATATATTAAATATCATATCAAGTGATAATCATTTTTTGGACAATTATAACTCTATTACAATTTAATTATTTTAATAATACCTTACTTTCATTTTTCTATATATATTTAACATTCAATTATGCATTACATTGTTTACGTACATGTATAATAATTAACATTTATTTTTAGAGGTTTGCATTTCTCTTAGATTTAGATCAAAATGGTGCAAATTAATTATATTTTATATGTTTTGTTGCTATTCAATTACTCTATAAGTAAATAAATCATTCAAATTCGTGTACACTTATTTATTTTCAAAATTTTTCATTTAAGTTATAATATAAATTTATTCTCCAGGTTCACGTACATACTCTTTTATCTAAATTATTTTTTTTAAGATCACGTGTATGGAAATTATTTTTTCTATATTCATTACCTAAAATTAATTAAATTCCATGTTCATGAATGCATTTAATTGTTCTCAACTATTTAAACTGTTTTCATAAATTGGTGTTATTTCATTTTAATCATCAAATATCTTGCTCTCCTGCGTCATGGAATCAAGGGTATAAGAGATTAATTAACGTATGAAAATGAATAGTCCATTAAAGTGACAATAGGTCGAAAGGGTTTGATTGCATCTTATTCCAACAATGTTGGAAAATTTTATATTTAAGGCTCATCGTAATTTACAAATGAGGTAATACATCTACTAGGATGACTATTTATTTTGTAATTACATTATCCACAAAACGTCCTTAACCTCAATTTTAATATTCAATTATTAATTTTATTTTTTCTTTCTCTGCTCATCTTTTTCAAACTTAACGTAAAGAAATTCATGATTTTTTTCAGTGAACACACGCAGACACCAAATCACAATTAAATGCCTAAAGTTATATGACAATTACAAATGTTTTAGTTAAGCCAGATATCCCTCATCACACAAAGATATGGTGTACAAATAGATACTCATTGAGTAAAAAATTCATTTCACTTATACAATTTTTTTAGCATGTTTGAGCCTTTTTTTTTTAATGCATTTTAGAATAGTGATTTGATGAAGAATGTGTGATTTAAAAATAAGGAAAAAATTTGTGTTTGCATGTAATATTATTTCATTGAAAAATGTGTGATTAAAAATAAAAAAGAGAAAAAATATATTTTTGAAATAATGCGTACCAAATATTGGCTTTACTATTTTTTATATTTACGCATATTCAAATATTATTTTTACAACATTTACGAAGCCTTTCACACATTCGTTATGTGACTAGTCATTTCTAAAAACAATGGGTTGTTCTTAACAAATTGAGAAAAAAAGGTAATAATTTCATCAACTAAAACCATTAAAAAATTAAAAGAAAAAAGGGACGATAAATGACGCAGTGGACCCGCTCCAACCCACCTGCCTTAATCGCATATGAAGACGAGGCAAGATGATAAAAATACTCAACAGGACGAGGAACGGAAAACTGCCGATCCACCCAATTGACATCCCTATTTTTAATGGAGAGTCTTCACTTACAAGGAACTTTTGGGAAAGAAAAGATTCATTGTTGGGCCAAAATTTTACCGAGTAGCAAGTTGGCTCCCGTTTGGCCCCCATTTTTGGTAATGAAAATGGGTGGAATGGTTTTTTTTTTTTTTTGGAAAAAATGAGTTGTCGAAAAAGAAGGAAAATTTTTCGATTTACGTGTAATATTATTTTATAAAAAATTGTGTGGTTGAAAATAGTAGAGACTAGAGAGAAAAATAGAATGTAATGAAATGTAATTTAATGAGGGCCAAATGGGGAGTCTTCGAACTTTGGAAAAAAGAAAAAGAAAAACAAATAGATTATCAACACTTAGTAGTATTAAATAGCTACAGACTTAGCCCTTTTAAATCTGTCTCATCAATATTTTGGGTGCCATAGCAAATTGGTTAACCAATTTCATAAAAATGGTAACTTGATATGTGATAGGCACATGTCTATGTACCATATAATGAAAGGTTATAAATCAATATTTTTTATACACGTGTTGCTTCAACGATAACTTAAAATCAATTTTGCAATTTCTCCTCAAAAGATATGAGAATGTTTTCAAGTTGTTTTCAATTTTTTGTTGTCTAAAATACTCAAAATTTCAAACTCATAATATAAAACTCAAACATCTTTTTAACGTTTTCAATTTTTCCAATAGATACAAACTCTTATCGATTATTTAAATTAAAGCATGTAAAAATTCTCATCTCCGTCATTGACTTTTTTTTTTATTTTGTTTCCTATGTTTTGTCATCTTAATTTATTATTGTTTGCATTTACTTTTGTAGCAAGAAGAAAAATTATTGTAAAATTTACCAACTTTAAAATGTATAAATACTTAATAATATATTATCATAAATTTGTTCTATTTTATTAAATAATTAAATTTATGAAATAAAATGTCATAAAATAATTTTAACAAATTCCAAAATATTCGTATTTTTCAATTCATATTTTGGAAAATAATTTTTCAGATTTACAAATCAAATATATTTTCAGCAATCTTAAAAATGAAAACTGAGTTACTGAAACATACATGAAGCTCCAAGGAACATAAAAATCTCAAGGTACTATGAATGAAATAACTCAAGGCGGTAACAATAATAAATAAGATAAAAACTGACGAACGATAATAAGTGTCTGTCTGGAGCATTTTTATGAAGATCTTAAGAGTTTTTTTGAATATCTGACAAATGAGTCCGCATTGACTTTATTATTTTCCTACTATATAAAAATGAGAATGTGACTTAATTCATTTTGTCTCATTGTGACTTTTTTTTTTTAAGTGGGGGAGCAAAACGTCTTCGTTTGCCTTGCTTGATATATATTTTATTATACAGTAAGAAAATACTGCAACACGTAATTTTCATTCCTCCCACCACTCTGTGCTCAACCACTCTTATATTGATATATATAGTAGGGATATAAGAAAAAAAATCACTTTTATATAAAAAAAATAAAAAATAAAGATAATATAAGGCAGAAAATATTTTACAAAAAGTTACTTCTAATTAAAAAATTTGAAGAGAAAATAATTAAAAAGAATTTTAAATTAAAAAAAATATTTATAATGTAAAACTACATGACGAAAAAAAATTTTAAATTTCTCCGTGCACGAAGGCTTTTGCCTCCATTAGTCTCCATGCATGGAGACAAAAATGTTTCCATTTTTTTTTTTTTAACTTTATAAATAATTGTTTTTTTAGTCAATTTATTTAAATTTCCTTTTAATTCTTTTATCTTCCAAATGAAACTTAATTTTTCAGTTTTAACAAAATAATATTTATATATTCTTTATTTAATTTTTGTAACTTTCTTTTATTTTGTTTTTATTGTTTTTTTTTGGAAATTGTTTTAAATTTCATTTTTATTTTTTTCCAAGTGGGGGAGCAAAAACGACGCCATTTGTCTTAGTACATATTTTATTATATAGTGTACCTCCAAATTTACTTTAACACACAACTTTTCATACTTCCCACCAAGTCTCATCTCTTCACTCCATGCTCAATAAAAAATATTAGCTCGATATATTTCTAAAATGCAAAGAGTTAGTTATAAGTAAAAAATTTGCTTCAAATTTTTTAAGTGTAATAAAAAAAAAAAATTATCATTGTAGTTAGTTACTATATGTAAAAATATATTAGCTTAAAAAAAAAATCTCTCTCTAACTCTCCGTGCACGGAGACTCGAAGACCATGTTTTTTTTAACTTTATAAATAATTGTTTTTTTTATCAATTTAAATTTCTTTTTAATTCTTTTCTCTTCCAAATAAAACTTAATTTTTCAGTTTTAACGAAAAAGTTACTTGTAAATTAAAAAAATTGAAGAGAAAAGAATTAAAAAGAATTTTAAATTGAAAAAAAAATTATATATAATGTAAACTAAACAATGCAAATATTAATAAAAAAATTAAAATTTCTTCGTGCACGAAGACAAAAATGTTTCCATATTTTTATTTTTTTAAAACATTATAAATAATTGTTTTTTTATCAATTTAAATTTTTTTTAATTCTTTTCTCTTCCAAATAAAACTTAATTTTTCAGTTTTAATGAAATAATATTTATACATTCTTTATTTAATTTTTGTAACTTTCTTTTATTTTATTTTTACTGTAATTTTTTTTTTTTTTGGAAATTGTTTTAATTTTTTTTCTTCATATTATAAATTTTTTTTTTTCGATTTAAAATTCCTTAAAATTCTGTTTTGTTCCATTTTGTCTCACTGTAGCATTTTCTAAGTACGAAAATCACGTCTTACTTCTTCTTCTCTTCTCCCTTCTCTCTAGGGGTGGGCGTGGGTTGGATCGGTTTTTGCCCAACCCAACCCAACCCATGTATGAATTGAAACCCAACCAAATGTCGGTCGGGTTGGGTTAGGTTGGTCGGTTCGGGAAAAGGAATCATGATTTAAACACACAGGAGACATTTTAGAAGCCGCAGGAGTTGGAGATTGGGTCTTCTTTGCTGTAAATTCTGAAGGCTTCCATTCATTTATAGGTTCAACATCCCAATTTAGTCATTGAGGGCGCCTGCAAGTATATATGTAAGGATATTTCTCAGGCTTGGTTTGCATCATGTGTTATATTCATAGAGTCGTGCTTTAATTTTATTATAAAGCCATGTCTATATTTTTTGTTATATTTTTGACTTGTGGATATTAATCGTGGAAATAGTTTATCAGTGTTAACTTTCACTAACTAATATAAAATTATTCTATTTTTATTAGTTTTTCAACCACTCACAAAATAAACGGGTAAATAAGACACCACTGCAATCAAGAGCAAAAGCCAAAGATCCCAAACAAAAATAAATTAATAGTAAGTGTACAAAGCTTAACAACATTGACCTTTAGAAAACTGTAACTTATCAAAATAAAAGACCAAGAAACATACCTGTTCAGTGTTCACCGTGACTCTGTTCAATCCAAATTATTCTCATCGATGTGATTGAAGATGTATGATAAATTGTCACAAAATTTGTGCCCAAAACAAAAGCAGTAAGGGACCAACTGCTCGTAGAAACAACAAATATTTCCTTGATTTCCCTGTGACCAGAACCAAAAAAATAAAAAAATAATAAATAATAAATAAAAGAAAGAATAAAGCATGTACAATTTAAAGAGGTGTAAAAACAGAAAAACACATAATCAATAGCCATCTCAACTCATATCAGGTGCTTCATTATTAGGATAATAAAGTCCATAACAAAAGGAGGCCACGAGAACTTTAAAAAGAAAAGATGACCATCAGTGATTAGAACATCAAAGGTTACTTAAATTTAGAGAAAAAGAGTAAAAGAACAAATGAAGTATAAAGGAACAATACCCCCAGGAAAATATTAATGTACTGAAACGTGAAGAAGAATATAGATTGCACTTTACTAACCCCAGCTTCTTATCATGGACAATCAACGACAGGCTAATGTCGGTGATTTGGTGATACGACACCGCTGCGAGTGGAATGGGACTGTGGGTGTGGCTGCGTGAGAGAGAGATGGAAGTTGTAGGGTTTGTGTTGTTTGTCTCATGACGTTTGTTTGGCCTTTTGAAAGAAATTTGAGATTTTTTTTAAACTAGCGGGTTGGGTCGGGTCGGGTTTGGGAGATTTTTGTGCCTCAACCCGCAACCCGACCCACCTTTTATGCCCTAAACCCGATCCCAACCATAAAAATGGAAAAAATCAAAGAAAAGAGAAAAAAGAAAAAAAATTCAAACTAAGTGCACGGACTGCACTCTCCGTGCATGGAGAGTGCACACGTGAACCATTGAATTTAACATCACAGGAATCAATTATCAAAAGACAGTATCCATGCAACATTGATTTTCTGATCAATTATATTATTTTCCTGGTCGTATTGGTTTTATTTATGGCCTTGTTAACCTAAACACCTACATTGTTTGTCGAATTTTCAATTCAATAGGTTTTTTTGAAATTTTCCAATTGATGGAGAATTTTACAGTTTTGATACGCTGTGGATTGTTAACTTGACATTTAGATAGATTGTACTTTTCATGGATTCTTCGGGTGGAGAATATTTTCAAGAAGTTTTCGTATTTTTGCAAGGTTCTATGGTTTTTCTTTTTTAGAAGGTCGAGATGATGATAAAAAAAGACAAATAACGAGGGCCAAAACTCCTATGTTTTATTTTTATATGTATTTTGCTGAATTTCGTATATGATTATGAAATTTTTACCAGGGTCTCTTTAGTTAATCACTTAAATGTAGAAATCGACTCCTTTACACCATTTTATACAAATATTTTATTACAACTTTCCTAATTTTTCTCTTTTATATAAATACTTTTTAATTATCGATGTCAATCTCTTGTCAGCCAAATTGTTTACATTATAAATAAATTTTTTTTCGATTTAAAATTCTTTTTAATTCCTTTTTTGTCATGATAAAACTTAATTTTTCAATCTTAACTAAATAATATTTTTATATTCTTTATTTAATTTTCATAACTTTCTTTTATTTTTTTATTATATTTTTTTGAAAATTGTTTTAAAATTTCTTTTTTCTTCATATTATAAATATTTTTTTCGATTTAAAATTCTTTTTAATTCATTTCGTTTTATGATAAAACGTCATTTTTTTGTTCTTAATAATTGATATATAATTTTAATTTTAATTATTTTAATTTAATTAAAAAACTTTGCAATACCTTGTTTTTTCGCATGCAAATTTTTTTTTTAATTTATTAAATCATTTAATTTTTTTTTATTTGTATTGGTGTAACATGATAGTTACAAACTAAATGACTTAAGAAATTAGAAAACAAAAAAAAGAATTACAAACAAAAATAGAAAAAAATTACAGGCAAAAATAAAAAAAAATAAAAAAAGTTATTATAAAATTTTTAAATTAAATTGAAATAATTAAAATTAATAATAAACATTATTTAACGAAAATAAAAAAATTGCGTTTTATCGTGAAACGAAAGGAATTAAAAATAATTTTAAATCAAAAAAATATTTATAATATGAAGGAAATTGAAATTTAAAAAAAAATCAAAAAATTATAATAAAAACAAAATAAAAGAAAGTTACTAAAATTAAATAAAGAATATATAAAAATTATTTTGTTAAAATTGAAAATTTAAGTTTTATCATAGAGAAAGGAATTAAAAAAATTTAAGTTGAATAAAAAATTATTTATAATGTAAACAAAATGAAAAGAAAAAAAGGGAAATAAAAATTCCCTCCATCCTTGTAGAAAAACCCCTTCATGCACATAGAGAAATCCCTCCGTTTATGGAGAGATTTCTCTTCATCCATAATGTGTTCACCTCCACACATAGTGGGATGCTCTCCATCCCAATTTTTTTTTTAATTTATTTTTTGGTAAATAATTTTTTTGGATTGAAAAAAAATTGTTTTTAATTTTTTTTTGTTCTTATAATAAAACTTATTTTTTTTAATTTTAACTAAACAATATTTATATATTTTTTATAGCTTTAATTATTTTGTTTTTATTATATATATATATTTTTAAATTTTTTAAAAAATTCTTTTTTCTTCATATTGTAAATACTTTTTTTCGATTTAAAATTTTTTAAATTCTTTTTATTTTACAAATTTTTCAATTTTAACTAAATAATATTTATATATTCTTTATTTAATTTTTGTAACTTTCTTTTATTTTTTATTATATTTTTTTGAATAAATATTTTTTTTCGATTTAAAATTCTTTTTAATTCTTTTCGCTTAAAACACAATTTTTTTGCATTTAACCCAAATTTCACTCTTACTCTGAGTTGTTACGATATTGATTTCTCTTAACCTTTAACCTTAATTTCAATCTTCCTCTCTCGATTGTTCCGAAAATACCCAACAACTTCACGCACTGTATACCCAATCTTTAAACCTTCAATTTCTTCTGTTGTAAATTTTACTGCTAAATTTTGATTTTTGTTTTTTGTGAGATTTAACAAATCGCTCCCAAAATACCGTGAAATCTTAGAAGAAATTGGAGTTTAGGTATGTTTTTTTGTATTTTTTGTCGTGAATCTTCCAGCTTTTTCTTTTTTTTTTTTAAGAATTTAACAAATTGTTACCAAAATACTACAAAATTTCGCCAGAAGTTGGGCTCTGGGGACCTCAAGTTTGTTCATTTATAATTTTTTTTTTATTCTTTTTGTTTCATTGTGTTCATGTCCACTCCGAAATTTTTATTCATTCTTTCATACTTTGTTTGGACTTTTGTGAAAGTTGTAGACAGAAAAAAGCGGATTAACATACAAATTGAAGATTATCGACTTCAGGTATGTTGATTTCATTTTTACTTTGTTTGAGGGTGATTTTTCTTTTACAAATACTTCATTTTTACTGTACATTATTCATAATTTTAGCTTCTGATTTATTTTTATTTTTTTTAATGCTTGAACAATTGTACTTTAGGTGATAATGTGTCTAGTGTTTTATTGTAGTTAAGGAAATATTTGGTATTGGTAGATTTGTAGTTGAACTAATAGTTAAGGTGTAGGTGATTGAAAAGATTACTCATATTATAAGCATGTTTGAAAAGTTTGAGACCAATTTCATTGCAACGAATTTTTGTACTATTGTAAAAAATTTGTAACTCAAAGAGAGGTTTCTTATTTCAAATGTTAGGTGGTATGTGATGTAGCTCACTAAATATAAAATATTTTAGCAAATTCTCATTCTTCAGTTATATATTCATGTGAAGAGAAGGACTACAAATGAAACGATTATGGAAAAAGGATCATTGTTCAATACGAATGTAAAGTGTTTATATTAGGAATAGAAGAAAGTTTGGAAAACACATTCAGATGATGAAGTCTTACCGTGAGTAACAGCTAAAAGAAACACTGTTGGGGATTGAGGCCCTAACCGTTTCTTGCAGGATTCGTTCCAAGAAACTAAGACTAGAACCGTCCAGTGAGGTTTCTGTATATTTGCTGTCTCTTTACTCCTTGACATGTAAGCTCCTCATTTTTTTGCATATTTAATACACTGTCTATTGTGCTAGTGCATGATTTTTGTTGTCTTTTACGGCGTGATAATAGATGGGTTATGTGAAAATATTACAACTACAGTGCCAGTGGAGTGGCCCTCCACTCTGCCCTTTCTTCATCCTCTGCCTCTTAATAGGTGGGTCATTTTTGTCTTTTAGAATAATTTGTTTTAGCTATAGATTATTTTTAATTTGAGGTTCTAATCTTCTAAGACTTTTAAGAATTAAAGAAATTAAATGATTTAACAAATTAAAAAAAATTACATGCAAAAATTAAAAAAAAACGAAAAAAGGTTATTATAAAGTTTTTTTTGTTAAATTGAAATAATTATAATTAAAAAAATATTATTTAACTAAAATTGAACAAATTATGTTGTATCATAAAACGAAAAGAATTTTAAATCAAATAAAAAATTATTCATTTATAATATGAAGAAAAAAGGAATTTCAAAACAATTTTCAAAAAATACATAAGAAAACAAAGTTACAAAAATTAAATAAAGAATATATAAATATTATTTAATTAAAATTGAAAAATTAAGTTTAATCATAATTCTTTATTTAATTCTCGTAAATTTTTTAAATTTTTTTATTTTTATTATATTTTTTTAAAAATTACTTCGTATTATAAATAATTTATTTTTCAATTTAAAATTCTTTTCATTTTATCATTTTTTAAATTTTAATCAAATAAATTTTATTTTTAATCATTTCAATTTAATTAAAAAACTTTATAATAACAATTTTTTTTTATTTTTGCCTGTAATTTTTTTTCTTCTTTAATTTGTTAAATCATTGATTGTTTTTCATCATATGAAGAAAAAAATTTTAATCATAGAACGAAAAGAATTTTAAATCGAACAAAAAATTATTTATAATATGAAGAAATTTTCTTTTAAAACAATCTTCAAAAAATATATAATAAAAACAAAACAAATTAAACAAAAGAATGTTGTGAAAATTAAATAAAGAACATATAATTATTATTTAATTAAAATTGAAAAAAATTAAGTTTTTTCATAAAGAAAAAAATTAAAGAGGATTTTAAATCGAAAAAATATTTATAATATGAACAAAAGAAATAAATAATAAATAAATGAGGAAAAAATAAAAAATAAAGAAGAAATCTTCATGCATCCTGCGATAGTCCAATGAACGAAACGATTGGATTTCACCAAATACTTCAAATTTTCAACCAGTTTTGAAAAATATACAATTTTGACGTTAATATCTTTAATTTGTTAAATCATTTAATTGTTTTATAATATGAATAAAAAAGATTTTAATCATAGAACGAAAAGAATTTTAAATCAAATAAAAAATTATTTATAATATGAAGAATTTTTTTAAAATAATCTTAAAAAAATATATATAATAAAAACAAAACAAATTAAACAAAAGAATGTTGCAAAAATTAAATAAAGAACGTATAAATATTTTTTACTGAAAATTGAAAAAATTAAGTTTTTTCATAAAGAAAAAAGAATTAAAAATGACTTTAAATCGAAAAAATATATATTTATAATATGAACAAAACAAATAAAAAATAAATAAATAAGGAAAAAAATGAAAAAGAAATCTTCATGCATCTTGCGGTAATGTAATGAACCAAACAATTAAATTTCACCAAATACTTCGAATCTTCAACCAGTTTTGAAAAATCTACAATTTTTATACTAATAAAAATACAATAAATACAAAATTTGTGCAACTCACGTGTCAAAGACTAGTTATATATATATATATATATATAAAAAAGGGAAAAGAATTAATGTAATAATCTATATTATCTTTTTCAAGTATTAGAATTATTTATACACATTTTCTCAGCCGTCATATTTGATTATTCTTGGAGGGTAAACTTGACAATGCATAATAAATACAATTATGGCTACAATATTGTACCTGAGAGTTGTCAGATACCATCGATTAAAAAAAATTTGATTAAAATTATTCAAGAATTACTCTCCAACATGGGCTAAGAATACTCTGAAACCATCGAAATATTTGAATAAAAATAAAAAAGTGATTTGAGTATTTATCAAAAAAGAAATGTATACATATGAGCTAAACACAAGTATACAGTATACTCAATAAATTTGATAGACTATGAGTTGTCTTTCATGGCCTATTCAATTCAGGTGTGTTTGATTGCAAGCCTTATTCATATGAAATTTACTAATTAAATGTGTTTGATTAATTTAATTTTCAATGAAAAAATGTTATATTTATTCATCTTTTATTGGTTGGTAGATACGATAGAATGGATAGATGAGAAAGATGGTGAATTGCCTGGTAAATTAAATTTAGGAAAAATTGCAATAGCGGTCCCTAACCTTTTTTATTTTTACGAACTTTACTCTAACCTTCAATTTGTGCTATCGAAGGTCTCTAACCTATCAAAAATATGCAATAGAGGTCCAACTGGATGGAAACCATCTGTTCTACCGTTAGCTGACCAAAGAATTGACTTTGACTCCAATTTTGACTAATTTTAAAAGGACAGAAATGTAACTTTACATTTTTCTTACATAAAAAATTAAATAAAAAACCAAAGAAATGGAAGAAATAGAAAAGAAAAGAAACAAAAAGAAAAATACTATTCACCTCCTTCACAAACGCACCCTATTCCCACCCATTCCAACTAAAGCTAGAAATCAATTGGCCATCGTCGTCACTACAACCACCACCACCCGTTGTCTCTACAAACCAAAACTAAAAGTCATCATCACCACCACTACCACCATTAAACCTACAGTTAAAACCAAAAATACCACCCCCACCAAATTGTCCTACATATATAAAAGGGCGAAGCAAAGGTGGGACACGTGTCGGCCATGGATTTCGTCTTGTATTTTTTCTTTCTTCTTTATTGTCTTGGCCGAATCCCAAACTAAATCCCATACCGTTTGTGCATTTCTTAAACTCCATTGACCATTCATCTGCTATTCTGATTGATCTCTGTAAATTGATTTTTCGTTTTCTCTCCTATTGCTACGAAGATACGAAAAAAATGTGAAGAAAACAAATTCACCTTACTGAGCATGTATCATTTCTATTCTATGGACAAGGAATCCCAGACAAATTTAGAAGGTTGGAATTTTATCCTCAAAACTTCGTTCTCTTCGACCTTATTGCTTAACTGTTAGATCTTTTTTCTTTTTTATTTTAAATATTTAAACATTCTAAAAAACTGAAAATTTACTTAGAAATTGTACAGTGGCAACAAGATCCTCATTGATTAAGGTTTATTTTATTTTGGTGATATCATTTATTTTGTTTGATCTTTGATCTTTTTTTCTTTTTTTAGTTCGAATAGCCTTGTCCATTAGAAGATCATTGAGTGATTATTGAAGATTTCTAGCTTCAAATGTTTGGTATTGTTAATAATTCAAGATTTTCGAATGGTATTTTTGATTTGTGATTTTGGATTCTTGGAATTGATTGAAATTGTGTTTTCGTAGTTAAGGCTGTAGAAAGTGGGAGGTCTCCTCAGTAGTGTTTGGGATTGGATGGACAGAAGAATTCTCTAATTTGTATGTAAGTATGTTTTGATTTTTTACTCTTTTTAGTTAATCATCAATTTTCTTAAGTTTCATTTGATTACCGGGCATCGTATTAATTTTGTTAGAAGATACCTTCCAAATGATGGTGAATTAGCTTCAGAGATAATTTTGTAAAACTATTTATTGAAATTAATTTCTCTTAGTTAGAAATGAAATGATTGTAAATTTGACACTTGTAATTTTGTATTAAAAGGATATAGAAGGACAAAACTTGAGAATAGTGATTATTAGATGGGATGAGGTGAAAGGGGTAGACGCTGGAGTAATTAGTTAAAAAAGAGTTTATAATGTTGTTTATGTGCAATGACATCTCCAGCGTGGAGAATATAAGCATTTTTAAAAAAAATAAAAATAATAAGAATAATAATGGGAGCTAAAGCTCTGTGCAGAAGAAAAAATAATAATGGGAGCTAAAGCTCCGTGCACGGACGGAGCAGAAGAAAAAAAAAATAATGGGAGCGAAAGCTCCGTGCCCACACGTGCATCTGTCCAACACTCCGTGCTCAGCTCATTGGAGAGGTAACTTCCACCCAACCTGCTCCTCATGTCGCCTGATGTGAAGGTCACATACATGCGTGATATCCTCCTCCGGTACTCCCCTGAAAGTGAGCGCATCCGAGTCAGTAAAGTTGTATTAAACTTGTATATGATCTGTGTATGAATTAGATGTTTTACCCGTCAGTTATTGAATTTTGTGGAAGGGCAAACTGTCTAATTTCAGTGGGTGTGGGTCTATATATAACAATAATCATTTTTTGGATGAAAATTATTATTGAATGAGAGAAAAATACAAAATTGGAATTACGTTTTCAATTTTCCGTCTATAAACTCTTATTGGTTAATCTACCCATTCATTTTGTCATGAGCATGAGAATTGTTGCTCTTTCAATTATATAAATCTTGTGTGGTGAGGGAATGACTGAAAGCAATAAATATTAGTTGCTTGTGTGTGTTGAAATTCTCAGAATTCTTGTTTCTAAGTGGTTTAGTGATCTGGGTGTTTTGAAAGCTGTGTTCTGTAATTGGAACTGGAGTTTTTGAAGGTTTTGTGATGTGGGTTGAGTGTTTATCAAGAAGGCAACCTGGATATTGGCAATTGTGGTTTGGTTTTAACTGGAAATTGATTACTGGGTCCTCTACAGATCTGATTGCGAGGCAGACAATTCTGAATGAGCTTCACAAAAAAATTGAATCTTTTTGCCATTGCTAAGAAATTGCAGTTCATTTTATATGTCAATGGGCAGTGATACATACATAGATCCCGCTAATTTCTCGATTTGAGTTTGGATTTTGTGAAGCAAACTTGGTTATATCAAAAGTGAAAACTAGATGATATTAGGTTGGAGACTTTGTTGCCTGATAATTGAATTGTTTGCAGTCCAGGATGGACTTTGGATGAAGTTCTTGAATTCTTGAAGTACATTGAAATATATAGATGTGGAAATGGTGGAATTTAATTAATTTCGGATGCCTATTAGATGGCATCTACATCTCCTTCCCCAAATTCTCCACCCGTCGCTGTTCCACCATCTTCTTCTAACGCTCCCTCTCCGCAGCCTTCCTCTCTGCCTCCTGATCCTCTAAATTCATCAACACCATCTCAGCCCAATTCAACTGCATTACTTCTCCAGTCGTATCTCCACCACCGCAATCACCTCCTTCCAATAATGTAACAGAAACTCTTCCAGTCTTACTAGTGTCCCCTCCTTCGTCTCCCCCTCCTCAGCCTACACCTTCACCTTCAACCAATTCACCATCACCATCTTCCAGTCCTCCTCCTCCAACACCTTCTGATCCACCTACAAAGCCTCCTCCTCGTCCTCCTAATCCACCAGCTACCTCATCACCTCAACCAGCTCAAAATGTGGGCATCTGCCACGGAATATGATTTGATATCTCAATGATTGGGAGTCTAAAGAAGTTGGAAATTCTCACTTTTTATCATTATTATCTCTATTTTGATTTTCCCACTAAAATAGCAGAACTTAGCGACCTAAAGTTACTGGATTTGAGATTTTGGACAGTCCCCTGCCCACTTCCACCTGGTGTTTTATTGGGTATGAAAAAACTGGAAGAGTTGTACTTTGGAGAATACTTCGAAATGAGATGAAGAAAAGGGGTACATTATTAAAGAGATAAATTCACTGACTGCTCTTAACACTTTCCAAATTCCCACAGATGATACTCAGTTTTTGATGCAAATATTACAAGTATTGTGTGTTGAGAACTTGAAAAGATATGAAATCCCCATGGCCGAAGAAAGGGACTCGGTACTGGAAATTATCATGTCACAAGGAGGCTGGACTTCCTAGATGGTATTGACGCAGGTACTCATTTGCTATGTGGATTTAACTCATTAATGAGGACAGGTTACCAACTTTATATTGTAAAATCAACAGCTTGGAATACGCTTGTGAATGGGCTAGATAAAGATGGTTTCTTTAACTTGAAGAAGCTGAGGCCATCAAGTAGTGATTTTGAGTACATTATTGATGCGACATACTCTATTCCAAGTGGAACCTTCTGTAATCTGGAGCTTCTTAAATTGGAAGGTCTGCATAATCTCATACAGATATGCAATGGAAATCTTCCAAGAATGGAACATTTTAGGAGTCAGTTGTTTCTTTGCTGTTACCTGGACCCTTTTCCCAAACACTATTAAGTTTGCAAATGACATGAAATTTTATTGCATTAACTATTAACAACTACATACGTTGTTTATTAAATAAAACACATTAAACACAAAGTTTGTAAAATCTTTCTCCAATTAGTGATTTTCTACCCTAATTATTTGATAATGAAATTTTCTCATTTCAGATTCTAAAATTTACAAATTGGATCTTGCTCTTTCCTCAGTCTATTAGTGCCACTCCTCTCGTGTGCCTAGCATAAAAAAATTGTGATATTGCAGCCTACGAAGAGCAACACATTACATTGTGGTTTATATAACTAACACTTTAGCAACAAGTTGAAAGTGATTAGTATTAAGGCTACTAGAAAATGCTTTAAATATCACACTGATTTATCCCATTTTTCCTATATGGATATATAAAAACTGGATTTTTTTTTTCTTTTCCTTAATGTCTTATTAGTTAGTTACTCGTTTTTTTCGAAGTTGTGGAAACTGAGATTGTTGAATATTTGAGATTGGTATTATTAGCTTTTGGTTGCTTTTCTCAAGCAGCGGCAGCAATGTGTGTTAGAATGGGAAGCTATGCGGATTCACTTTACTCAATATCTCGTGCATGTTCGTTCAATAACCACCATCCACTTATATTTAACATTCACCAATTAACGTGCAGCGCAGGTTTTTCTCACTATTAGTAGGAAAATCTTCACTGATATGATATCAACATCCGCCTGTTACCTCCGTGTCCTCCGCTCACGGCCCAAAAAAACCACCATTGAACTCCCCGACTCACCTTCCTCCCAGCCCAACCGCAACCGCAACCGCAAGTTCCTTCCCAACCTTAACAAGGGGGTCCACATAGAGGCTATTGTTCGCAGTCTCCACCACCTTCGTCGTACCCTGCTCCAGAGCTTAAATGAGCGACGGAGACCCAATGGAACCTAGATGTTCCCCCACACTCACAAAACTTTTCAAGTGTTTTCTGTCTTTCACTGTAGACGCAAAATTACTCTAGACCCCTCATTTGCACCGGCAAAAATTGGTACCCGATATTGTAGTTTTTTGAAGGGTCTCGAAAAAAAAATAAGTTTGTAGGATCAGCAAAACTCAGATTTCACTCTAGATTTGATTTTCAAGTTCCTACAAAACAGGATTTGGCAAAGAATTGGAAAAATATCACTCCAAATTTGTTTTCTACAACTGCAAATGTAGATAGGCAAGTATAGGTGGAAGAGAAGATGCAGTAGGCTTGGGAAAGAGAAGAGGGTGGTGGCGTTGTGGCCGTCGCCGACAAGGAGAAAAAGAAGATGATGAAGACAGGTGGATGTAGGTGTAGGTGTAGGTGTGGGTGTGGGTAGAAGGGCAGATTTATTTTCTTTCCATTTTTTTCCCAGTTTTTGGCTTTTAGTTTAGTTGCTCTAATTGTTAACGATATTTGGAAAAATGTAAATATACCATTTTATCCTTTTCAATTTGGTAAAGAGTGGTCAAATTTTTATTTTTCAGGTTAACTAACAATAGTATAGACGGTTTGGACCTCTATTGCATATTTTTAAAAGGTTAGAGATCGCTGCTGCAATTTTTCCTAAAATTTATTCCAGAAAAATTATTTTCCTTATTTTTTAGAAAAGTATGATTATGTGACTAATTTTTTAAAAATATTTTTAATGTCAATCAAATATTTTAAAAGTAAAAATTTGAATAAAAAATGACATTTTTTTAAAAAAATAATAATAATAATAATAAAATTCACCGTTCATTAGAAGTAATTAGACATGGAAAGTTTACAAGTAAAGGAAAAATCACTCATCCAATATATTATTAATATAAAAATTTACTTAAAAGTAGATTTAGGGTATTTCTAAACTTAGTCAATTATGTTCTATTTCACAAACAATTCAAAGTATAGTGCTGCTCAAGATTAAGCATTTCAATTGAACCTTAACATTGGATTAAAACATAATAATAATAATAATAATAAATCAATCAATTATCATAAGTGCGGCACTCATCAGTCTCCGGATTTTCCTTGCAGTAATTCTCCAAAGGGTCAGATTCTCTCTTCTTGTCCTTTGCATGGCTCGCTGCAGCACTTAGCTCCTCAACCTCGTCCCACGCGGCCGCGCACTCGCCGCTAACGGGGTTCTCGGCGCAGGCCTCCTCCGCAGTCTTAATGCTCTCCGCCACCTTCTCCGACAGACCCTCTGGGGCCGCCGCCGCCGCCACAAGGCGGGGGAATTGAGTGTTGAACCTCTTCTTCCATGGGAATGAGAAGTTGTTGATGGACTTGGTTTTCGGTGAATCTGATGTCTTGGCTAAGATTCTTGGGGTTTTGAGGGTTAAACCAGCGATTGATGCCATTGGAAAATTGCTTTTAAGTTTTCTTTTGCGAAAATTGAGAGAAATTGAGTAGACTAGACGATATATAATTGGGATATGTAATGAATTTTGCACACAAATTTCTTATCATCCTTATGCAAATCATCAACTGCCACGTTTACATGCACAGGAGATATTGTATAAAAATATCTATTTTTGGTCAAGAAATCATAGATCTTTCAAGAGGGTTTTATCAAGTTGATAAAAAAATAGATTGCACGTTCTGCCTATATTTGAAAGAAATTAAAATTAAATCAAAATTAACGATTAATTTTAATTACACATTTTATTGGCATCATAATTTTTCAACCGCATATTTTATTATTTGTTATCAAATTTATTAAAAATTTAATTTTTATAAACAGTGTAATTGGTTCAAGGGGCCTATTATACTCAAATGGTAGATGACGTAGCAATAACTGAAAAAGTCAATGATATTTGAAAAAATAATAAAGATACATATTTTGTACAGATTTTTTTAAATTCGATGTGACATTAAATCCAGAGAAAAAAACAAAAATAATTCACAGGAAACTTAATTTTAGCAACATAGCTATATATTTGAATTTCAATCACCAAGAATAATAATAAAAAATCTTTGAGAAAATGAATAATCACGACTTTCGTTGGTTGACATCGGACGTGTTTTCATTCCATGCTAGTTGATAAATAATTGCAAGTTTAATATATGCTTGTGAGAAAATAAATGCGCTATTTTGAATGTATAGAATGCACATTAGCAGGAGATCGACACTATTGGATGGAATGGATAGAGCTATCTTGCTTTCCTCCATATCATATGATACTCTCTCTTCACCCTTGCTAGCACGAAATACATTTGTTGATTTGTTTCGACAATACAGATCAATGTCCCTTTCTTCCCTTTCGGCAAACCACTTTATGGTTCAATACTTTATATATTTCTTTAAGTAAATTAAAATGTCAAACAAAACAAAATTTTGGAGGGTGAACCAATTGGTTTTGGGGAGTCAATTACCCAATTTTGGGGTGAATTGATTAGTTTGACGTGACATTGATACTGCGTCATATTATTTTATTCAATTAAATTTTCGATTCTATCTATTGAATTGATAAGTTAGATATGATACTTATAACATTGATATTAAATACAATTCACATTTATATTCTAAACTTAATGGGGTTTACATTTATAATTGTTATGAAAAATTTTATATACATAGAAGTAGTAAGTTATGTAGTCACCAAATGGATTATGGAAAGCACATTGCCGCTTTGTCATTAAATAATATTTTAACAAAAATAATTATTACATAAAAACTTAACTCTGTTTGACCGTCCACAAACGAAGGTGAATGGCAGATATTTGGAAATATTGATGCATATATCTATTTAATATTTTCTATCATCCATATAAATTAATTATGTATCATTTATAATATCATGCAAATTGCAAAACCATAGAATTATTTCTAAGCAACCTTACTTATAGAAAATATAAGAAAAATGTAGAACAGTAAAAGAAAGAAATTCGTTCGAGATAAGAGTTTGATTATTTCTTCTGCGTGCTTACGGTTCATCGACATGCGTCTTTCAATATAAAATGATATTTTCTCTTTATAAAATTGGAAGGTATTTCTTCAAAATTATATCTATTGACCGTGCCACAATCTTGTTCATTCAATCAAGTTATTGATTAATCTAGTTGGAACGTAAATAAATAAAGTAATATAAATAATAAACATTATTTTGTTGCAAACAATTTGCAGTAACACTAAAAAGCTAGAGTAATTCCAAATGGGTTAAATTCGACAATGCCTAACCAACTTTATACTTAGTATCATCATAGTCATCTAATTTAATTTTATTTCACCATAGTGGCTCAATTTCATATAATGTTTTTTCATGGTCACTTAACTTCGTTTCACTATTTTCATTAATTTTAAAAGGGGTAAAAATGTAACTTTGCATTATATATAAAATAAATTTAAAAAAGCAAAAATAAAATAAAAACTTACTTAAAATAATAATAAAATAAAAACTTATTTTAAAAAAATGTTACTTAAAAAAAACTTATTTCTAACTTATTTTAAAAAAACTTACTTAAAATAATAATATAATAAAAACTTATTTTTATAAAGAGATTTTAAAATAATATAAAAACTTATTTTTTTAAAAAAAAATTACTTAAAAACATAAAATAAAATCAAAGGTTATTTTAAAAAACGTTCCTTAAAAAAATAAAATAAAAATTTATTTAAAAAAAGTCTTTAAAATAAAATTAAAACTTCTTTTAAAAAAATTTTACTTAGAAAAAAAAAAAAAAATTTATTTTTGAAAAAACATTCTTTAAAAAATAAAATCTTATTTTATTATAAAAGCGTTTTTAAAATAAAATAAAAACTTATTTTAAAAAAAATGTTGCTTAGAAATTAATTATTTTAAAATTAAAATAAACTTTTTGTTTTTTTTTTAATTCATGTTATATATGTAAAGTTACCATTTTACCACTTTTAAAAGAATAAAATTATTTGCAGTCGCTCGTTATCATAATCGCCCTACATAGCATACATGTGGTGGTTAGTAAAGCTATACAAAAAATCCACGAAACCGCAAATCGAACTAAAACCGTCGAGTTGAAACCGTTGGTTCAGATCCACGTGAATTCGTGATTTCTTTTCCCTCAACCTTAACCAAACCATTTCAAAATGGTTTGGTTTAGGTTTTGATTTTCAAAAATCGCACAAAATCGAACCGAACCGTTTTTTAAATATTTCAATTAAGAAATAAAATTTATTAACTTAAAAATTTTACAGTTTTCACTTTTAAAAAAAATATATCAATTTAGCAATATAAATTATAATCAGACTATTGAAATAATTATAGTAAGTAAATTATGTTCATCATTATTGATCTATGATTTAACAGGTTCACAACACATGCTCTCACCCAATATCTAAACTAGACTAAAATTATTCCAATATATATATATATATTCAACAAATCAAATCATAATTCAACAAAATTACGTCAGCAAATCACGTCCAAAGTATTAGAAACCCTGACAAAAAATCTAATTTCCCTAACATTTGACGCTTGTTTGTCACTGCTGAACGAATCGTCAATCGCCTTTGCATGTTAGTCTACTAATCTCTACCCGGATCGCCTCTTTCTCTCTTCTCTTTTGATAAGTCTTAGATTTTTATTCAAATCATTTTTCCATTGTTCTTTCTTTTATTTGTTTTTTAACTTATTATATATTTGAGTTGTGGTTTAGATAGAAAAATGATTGTTTGTGTGCGTAAACTCTATCAATCTTTATACATCTAAATATATTCTATTCAATCATTATTTAACATTTCACTAGCAAAACGAAATGAGTTTTAACCAAACTATAATAACAAAATGTAACTCTGCATTTACCTACCGCTATATAATAATATAAATGTATAAAAAAAGGTAAATAAAAATCAAGAAATATGTATTTGTTCTATTAACATCTTTTAGCAACCAACTTTGAAAATAATTTTTTCATGAATTTCATGGTAAATATGAATGTAATTTAACATTATTAGTTCTTATTTAAACTTATATTTAACTTATGTTAAATACATTACTATAGTGTCGAAAGATAAACCGCGGATTAAAACTGAATTAAACCGCAAATTATAGTTTGGTTTGGTTTGGTTCGAAAAATAAAATAGTTTGGCTTGATTTGAAAAAAATTCAAATCGTATAAAATGGCTTGAGTTGAAAATATAGCATAAACTATCCAAATCAAACCGCGTTCGCCCCTATTTCTTATATAAGAAGTCAGCTTTTTTCTTGAAGTTGACACAAGAAAATGATGTTATTGGACAAGAAGATGACATCATTTGTTTTCTATGAGAATGCATGGAAGAGCTAGTAAATGAAGATAATTGATTTGATGGAAAATTGCATAGGCACATGCAAATCTAAAATTAGTTATAATAACGAAATTGTTAAGTATAAATAGTAATGATAATAGAATAGGATCTTGAGTTTTCAAGAACAAGGAGAAAAAATGAATGAAGTAAAAGAGTATTAAATATTGGATTTTTTTAGTTTTTAATATTATTTAGTAAAAGAGAAAAAAATGTAGAAATATTATTAATCTTAAAATTTTGGGGGCTTGATTGAATCCAAGACTTCAGGTGATCGTTTGAGACTCTGAGTCGCTTATATAGTTAAGCCATTTTGGCAACTTGACAACACATTTTAAGCCCCGTTTGGCTCCCATTATTTTAAATTTTAATGGGTGGAATATTAGAGAATAGGTGATTGAAAAAGAATGAAAAGTTTTTTAATTACGTATAATATTGTTTTATAAAAGATTGTGTGGTCAAAAATAAGAGAGAGAGAGAAAATTAAATTAATGGAGGTCAAATGAGGACTTTGCCTTGCAACATAGAAATTAAATAGGTACAAAGTACAGTCTTGCAACATAGAAATTAACTAATTAAGCTTGACAATCACACAATTACGTCTTAGAATTATTCTATAGATTAAACTTGCATGCAACTATTGTCAACAACATAATAAAAAATTAACTGAAGTAACAAAATATAGTTGAAATAAGATTCAAATAGTAAACATATGATATAACATGGTGAATCCCTTAAGAAAATATTCACGAACCCCATGCCATGGATATTTAATCCACTATAAATAGCATTACTCGTTTAAATTAGTAAAAAAATTGTGAAAAGAATATGGTATTGGATGATCATAATGAAATAAAATCAAATCGGGTGGTCATGATAATATTAAGCATAAAGTTTATGAAAAAAAATCATATTGAATGGTCACAAACTCACAATGACTATAAGCATAAAGTTGGGTGGACATTATTGGATTTAACCCAATTCGATATAAACCTTTAAAACATTTTTATTCTCAAGATACTATTTAGGAAAAGTTGTTGGAAGCTGAGTGGATACAGCAAGAGAGATCGTTGAAAAAAAAAATTTGGTAGTTGCGTTGGTGAAGGCACTGGTGGATCCAGCACCAGCGACTGCCCGTGCCAATTTGAGGAAGGTAATTTTCTTTTTGCAGATTATGTATTTTTATATTTTTATTCTCAAGATACTATTTTTATTTGTTTATTTTACAATACATCTCGTAGCACATTATGTTATATTATGCTACAATTGTTTCGTCACATGCTTTGATCTCCCTTAATACTTGGATTTATGAATTTGCGAACCCAGGTTCTTCACAGGTGTGGAAGTGGAAATGGCCGTGGTGTTGGGATGTAGAAGATTAATTATTTCTTTTCATATTTTTGTTTATTTAACTTTTGATTTAGATCATTACATTAATTGTATTCAAAAGTCGTGATCATTTGTCGAATGACTTAACACCACAAAATCCCCTTATCTGTTGTCGTTGCTATCGAAAACCCCCAACCTTTTAAAAATAGCACAAAACATCCCAGTTTCAAAACTTACTTGTGGAATACCCCTCCTCGTTATATTCCATCTGCCTCGTTGCTAAATCCGAATAAATAGGGGGGGAAAAGTAGAAGAAGAAGAAGAAGAACGAGCAAAAATGGGGGCACTTATTAGACATGCTGAGCAAAACCCTCCTCATCTATTGGAATTAGTGAAAAAGGTTTTTGTTGTTTATTTTCTCAAAGATTGAAAATAACAAAGATGCCTTCCCATTTAAATAATATAGAAAAGGGTGAGAACCACCCCCCCCCCCCCC